AGGGACCAAAAAAAACAAAGAAAACCCCTCTCTAAAAAAAAAAAAAAAAAAAAAAAAAAAAAAAAAAAAATTGAGCATTATTAATACATAGAGGATATTTTAGAAGACAGAAGTATCAAGAAATTTCTAAGTACAATTGTGCAGTGCACAACTCAAAGTACACAGCATGTTGTAATTCCGAAAAAGAAGACATTTAAGATTTTCCATGACGGCTATAGTTTGTTGGTAAAGCATGAGCAAGAAACCAAGAGGCCGAGATGTTCTCCACCATGGCAAATGGAAAGAAGAAAGGTTAAATGGTAGGTTTTATGTTCTATACATGTTGCTACAATAAAAGTATCTACAAGGCTACCTTGAATGTACAGAATAAAGTCAAAACCATAAATAACTTTAAACAAGAAAAAAGGCACTAGTTTTCAATAAATACATGAAGTATGCAAAGACTATATGCTCTATTTCGTTTCATTTTTCAGGTGAAATCCTGCTGTGTTGACCAGGATGGTTTTGAATACATGGGCTCAAGTGATCCTCCCCACAGGTCACCCTAGCCTATCTGCTGTTATCTATCTCTTACCTTGTTTAATCCACTCTCAATACATATTGATCAAGGAGGAAATAGAATAACCATTTTGCTTATAAAAAAGGAAATGAGGCCTCGAGAGATTGAGCAACTTGCCTAACAGACAATTACTGACATAGTTACAACATGAAGTTGGTTCCATCTAGCAACAGACTAACATAATTAATTAGCTCTAAAGTGGGGTAATGCATCCATTTGCTCATTCTCCACCATTAGGGAAAGGCAGAAATTCAGATACTTAGGGGGCAGAAAACTGATACTTTCAAAATAAGAGCATCATGTAGCTGAAGAAGAGATGGCTCAGCAGTTAATAGCACCTGCTGTTCTTCCAGAGGACTAGGTTCAGTTCCCTGCATACACATCAGGCAGTTCACAACCGCCTGTAACTCTGGCTCTAGGGGAACTGAAGTCTCCAAAGGCACTTGAACACACATGGCATATACACATAAATAAAAATAAATCTTCAACATTATATCCATCAAACATGAGAAATAGCAAATACCTTTCACAACACCATGTCTGAGTTTCTGTTGAAGAGAGTGGTACTTTTCTCTTAAAGGAACCCTTATGGCCTCAGGATTGGGAAATGCTTTCACAAAAATTTCTGCTACCTTAAGAAAAAAAAAAATAATGTTTTATGACAAACATCAATTCTTTCTTTTCTTTTTAATACTTCAAACACTTTAAGTCAAACATAAATGTCTTCTTAATAAACTTTTGATGTTCAACCAAGCTACCAGATATCAGCATTGGTTTTCTTTCTTCCTTTTTAATTAAATTTTAAAGTATTTGATAAAATTATGTATATTCAAGGTATAGGATGTGATGATCTGATGTATAATTCATGTTGATATCTTAGCCAAATTAGGATGTCAATCACCAAGCATAACAATCCCTGCATGTGTGCACATACAGTGTAAGACACCTAAGATCTCCTTTATCAAATTTCAGGGAAATCACAGCATGTCATTAACTACAGTCACCATGCTGTACACTCACTCCTAGAACTAATTTATCTTACAAATGAAAATATGGATCTTTAAGTCAACATCTCCTCATGCCCTCCACTTAAAAGAAAAATCAAGAAATAGTTCATTTTCCTCTATGCACTTAGAAACAGCATAAAAAAAATCTCCTGTGGAAAATATTGCACTGAAATGCATCTGACAGAGATCAGTCCACTAACCTCAAGGAGCTATGGAAACGCTGTTCCAAGAAACAGAGAAGATACTAGAGGCTGAAGAAGAGAAGGATGATGACGTAGTGAGGGGTGACATGACCCCTTTTTAACCATACTCCTAACACGCCCCCCTATTTCTACACACCCCTAGCCTGGCAACTACCATTCTGCTCTCTGCTTCTATGAGCTTTAGTGGGATCATACTTGTCTCTCTGAACCTGGAGGATATTATGCAAAGTGAAATTAGTCAGACGGGAAAAGGCAACATCATCCCTAACTAAAACAGAAATCCCTTAGGATCTATGATTCAGATTTAGTTTATTTTTACCAACATATTACCTTCCTGACTGGTGGTAGTTCTCCAATGAGGCTCAAAATTATATCCTGAATAAGTTCTTCCATATTAAAAAACCGAGAGAATGGTAACATTCTATAGGCCCATTCCAGTGCATGAAAACAGTGCTCAACCACACAAGAATCAAATTCCACTTCGAGGTCCTATGTGTACATGGAGAAGATTGTCTTTTCAGTTTACATGGACAGATCAGAATGAGTTCAAAAGATACTGTATTATGAAGAGTAAACTCTTTTATTAAGCAATAAATTTCTGAGTAATGTTTATTTTCTATTCTTGAGTTGATAAATACCTTTTCCACCTTCACATTTTCTCTTGCCTTCTGATATTGCCTGCAACTATATGATAATTTATCCCGGATGTGCAACATCCAGCACAAAGCACAAAGTTCTCTGAAGCAACCTAAAAAATATGAATATAAAAGAAAATTATGTATTACATCTGCAGGTTATCTCTATTTTCAAAATAAATGACTTATTCTGATGATTATAAAAGAAAAATGTGGGGGCTGGGTAGATAGTTCAATGAGTAAAGTGCTTGCTGCTATGCAAGTATTCGGATCAGAGTTTAGGCCAAAACACCCATGTAAATTCTGGGCAAGTATGGCAGCATACTGTATAACACTTATGAGGTGGGTATGAAAAAAATAAAGAGGCAGGCATGGGCTGGTTAGTGATGGGGTAAGTCCTTCTGTGTATATGTTTGTCTTACTGGTTGACAAAGCACTGTTGGCCAATAGGAAAGCAAGATAGGTGGCGCTAGGAGTCGAGGAGGATTCTGGGAAATGTAGTAGAGACAAGGTAAGTCTTTATAAAATATATAGATTAATGGTTATGGTTGATAATTAAGACTGAGCTAGCAGATAAAAAATCCTAGTCATTGGCAAGCAGCATTATAAATAAGACTCTGTGTTATTTGTGGGCCTTAAAGTGGTGGCGGAAGTGGGCGGCTGGCAGAAAGAGTTATTGTTACAAGTAGTGGTGCCCACCTTTAATTCTAGCACTTGGGAAGCAGAGGCAGGTGGGAATCTACAGAGGGAATTCCAGGACAGCCAAGACAACACAGAGAAACCCTGTCTTGGGGAAAAAAAAAAAGAGGTGGGGACGGAGCATCCTCAGAGAAGGGTAGCTAGCTAGACTAACCAATCAACTGAGGCACCTCAATGTATCAGATGGAGAGAGATCAAGAAAGATACCTAATGTCAACCTCTGACTTCCACATGCATATACATGCTTGTAAGGACACACACACAAACACATAAATCTGAATACACACATTCACATTCCAAAACAACAAAAACAAAAATGTGTTCATTGTAGACACCTTATATAAAAGTTGAGATCCTTCCAGAATTTCAATATCTATTATTCTAGAATATTTTATAAATATCAGTTGCATGATGATATGAAAACAAATTTACAGAGTAAATGATTTACTACTAAATGGACGATACAATTAGTTCTAAGAAAGACATCTTGATTTGCCTGGCATGGCGGTACACATGTGTAACACCAGCTCTCAGAAGACTAAGGTGGGAGGATCATGAACTCAGGCTAGCATGGGATAGAGGGCATTAGAGTCTATCTCAAAACAAAAAATCAAATAACGACATATCAAAACAAAACTATCTGAGGGAGATGACACCTCAGAAACAAGGGTGAAGTAACACACAGCTGACAGTTTTTTGGTACCACATAAAATTTGGCATACTATTTCAAGAGATGAAATAACTAAATATATTAACTCAGAAATTACATTTCTGAGACTCTGAAGAAACATTTTAAAATACAAAACAGAGCCGGGTGTTGGTGGCATATGCCTTTAATCCCAGCCCTCGGGAGGCAGAGACAGGCAGATCTCTGTGAGTTCGAGACCAGCCTGGTCTAAAAGAGCTAGT